GACACGAGACCATCTGGAAGACACCAGAAAGTCTAGCTGTATATGGTGAGAGTCTATGAAAGCGCAAGGTTAGTGGGGCAGTCGCTATTTCTACTGAATGAAATCTAATGAATAGGATATTAGGACAACGCAAAATTTGTAAAAGCTTATTTAAGCGAACTCAGAGAAAAAAAGAATCATTACGCTTAGCAAAAAGTAGACGACTGGATCATGTCCATTCAAACCAAGGAAGCAGCTTTAACATTTAGGAGATTGGTGCCCAAGGCAATATGAAATAGGATAGTCCGAACAACCAGAGACATAATTTCCCAGCATTACTAACCATCACTGATCTCCACCTCACCACTCGAGCTTATATCCATAACGTCAAGTCCATGACTTTCATATATCATAGTCTCCTGTGAGCCAACTCCAAATGTTTTACCTATTTAATTGCTTTGATTAGGTTCACTACAGGCTCATATGTAGAAAGTTCGAAATCATTCGGATTCTCTATCTCTAATGGCATTTAGCCCTACCATAAATAAAGCTTAAAAACAGTCGGATGATTTGCAAATATATATATTTGTTTTTATTCTTATCCTAGGTTTCCGTGCTGTGGCCATGCCTACCCTTGTGATGCTTGTCACGATGAGAAATCGACTGACGATCATGTTATGATTTTCGCTAATAGAATGCTCTGCGGCTTCTGTTCTAAAGAGCAGGCTTATTCATCAGCCGGATCCTGTATTGAGTGCAAGCGCAGCATACTCGGTGGGTCCAATACTACTCATTGGGAAGGCGGCAAAGGCTGCCGTAACAAGAATCGCATGTCGCGTAAGGACCCGAAAAAATATTCTAATCAAGCCAAGACAATTCCAAAGAAAAATACTGGACAAAAAAAAGCGGGGCGAACAAAATAATTTACTAGAGTCTTTAACTTTCACGCAACTTAGTTTTATTTTTGTTATTTTCATTTTGTGCCTAATCCGAGTGATATTTTAAAATAATATTCCATTTCACTTTTATTGGAGTTCATTGGTGTATATAAAATTCGGGACAAATTCATGCAAGCTTGGCGAGATCAGAAATATTATATAGTTCTTTCCATTATTTCTAACTTGATTCATAAGGATTTTTTAAACAAGAAACTTCGCCATATGATTGATTCATTTCTTGGGTGTCTCTTAGGATGTATGTACATGTTTGAAGCTGTTGCGGAGTTTACACAAAAAGAATTCACTGTATAATTAAGTTGCAATAGATCTACCTTGCCTTTATCTTAAATTTATTATTGACACATTTCTATCTTACTCTAGCATCTGACATTATCTTTGATCATTCATTCAGATCATAGTCTTGGAGCATAAATTTATCGATTATTTTCCACTCAAACAATTAAATGTATTTAATATACATTTTGTTTCTTTTATCTCCTATTTTCCTTTTTCGTATTTTCATTAAATTTACTATTTAATCATTACTTTTTTCTATATGAAATGGCTTGCTATTTTCATAATAGGCGAATTTTTAAAATTTCATCTTGGACATTTTTTTTAACTTGAAGCATTTTTTTCGATTAAAATTGCCCCATTTCTGCATATGCTGTAGAAAATACTTTTAATTTTAATGGTGGAGTATCTTTCATTTAGTTTGAAGAGACGAGTGGAAGGGATTCGTAAACTGGCCTCACTGAAGGCGGAAAGGGGTTATTAC